CATCCATCCATCCATCCATCCATCCATCCATCCATCCATCCATCCATCCATCCATCCATCCATCCATCCATCCATCCATCTCCTGTCATTTCATTGATTCTCTTCAGTACATCACGCTATCTACTTATTTGCTGCTCTAAAGTAATTTTATAAATGTTTTAACTTTTATAACTATCATCAGCTGTATTCTATCAAGGACAGGAAATACGGCTCTGTTGTAAAAGAATGTGAATGACAGACTGTCACTTAATAAAGCTTTTACAGATTAGACTGGGGATATTGGGATGTCAGCTTTTGGAATTTCCTGTGATGCATGCAATCAAATTGTTTTCCTGTCATATTCAATGAAGATGGCAAAACAAGTGAAGAGGATCAATCTTTTGCAAAAAGTGGTGATATTACTTGACACCTTAATTTGTTAAAACTTCTCAGTCATTTAAGGACAAACTATATTTCAGTTATTGATCTGAATAACTTTTTCCACACCCAGCACTGGTACCATGTATTTGAAATAATTAGTTCACAGCTGACACAAAACGATAAATATTTAGGACTGTACAACAAGCCCCCTGGTTTTAATTGCCTTAAGGAAACTTCCAGGACATATGGAAAACGGAAAAACTAACTAGCTAAAATGTTTGCACTAAAGTATACTTTCTTTAGAAGTTTCTTACCAAGGGAGGAAAAAGTGTCTTTAATAAGACCTTATAGTGATTTCAATCAGCCAAGGATGAAGACAAACCCCAGTAACATTGCTACTCTGTCGAACAGGGAAGAAAGATAGTAAGTTCTGAATTAGTGTGTCCTCCACTCCAAGAAAAATAGGTCAGTTGTGGGTTTGTGATGGAGCACAACTGTCTTTTAATGAGTCTAACTCTCTGAGCAGCACTTCAGATAATTGCTGGCCTGGGCTGAAGAGGCTCACAGACCTCTGACGACGGCGGCTTTTAGAGTGTGAGGTACTTACCGAACCATGGTCTTGAGAAACCAGGGCCTGTGAGCAATAGAGGGCACAGCCTCGTCCATCAAGGGATGCATCTTGATGAAGTTGAGTGTGTCATCAGGGAACTCATTGGATACCTTGTACCTCTCCATGGATGGAGTGCCAGCACAGCTGCCAGGTCTGCAAATGGAGTGGAGGGAGAGGAAAGCAAAACATATGAGAAAGAGGAGAAGAAAACTGCCCAATAGAGGAAAAGTTCAAATGAAACACCACTTTATAACAAGAGGCTGCCAGAGGACAGAAAGTCTAATTTTCTTAAAATCAATATGAGTGAAACTATAAATGGCAAGACACTTATTCCTAGACCCTTCGGTTATATAGCAGGACACAAGATGTCTTCTTTTCTGAGTTTGGGGTAATACACCAAGACATTCTATCAGAGTGATCCTTTTAAAGGGAGATGGTAAAAGAGAAGTTGATTTTGATGGCATATCCACTTTGCAGGCATGTCACCTCAGAGAGCTTGTAAAACGTCTTTACAGTGTGCTCTTTGGTACCCTTTCACAACACGTATTACACACAAGGTCCCTGAAATGTCAGCCGGCTGGCCTTGCATTGTAAATATGTAAGGAGCAAGCCATTAAATATACATTTGTGACTCCTCTAGAGAACTGTTTCCAACATTAGGATGTGCAGATATGGAGCCACTGGTATAGAAATGTATCTCAAGTTTGACATTTTTTAACACTTTTTTTCGGGGAACTGGAAATACTTCTAAAAAAGCAAAGTCATTTGACTCTCCAGGTAAGGCTAAGACATCTGCCAGCCTCCTCCAAGCATCCCGGGACAACCAATTATTGTTAGGAAAACAATGAGAAATTTTTGAAATAGTTCTTAAATAAAAACATAATTCTGCAAAGTAAAAGCCAGAGATAAACTAAGAACCAGGGTACTTAATCATCCCATATTTTAGCTTGATTGGCCAAAACCAATCCAAAATATATTTCAAACCATTAAAAAGTAGCATTCCTATTTAAATACAGGTAGTGCTAGGAGCAAAGTTCGCTATTTTCAGCATCAGAAAGGTCATTAAAAATTTAAAGTCATTGGAAGTACAAGTGGATCTATTTATAAAATGTATTTTTGTTCCTCTAAAGATGTATCATCTGTTCTTGTTGCCACATCAGATTCCAGGAAGACTAAACCGAATAATGAAAATTGCTTATTTTTATCCTGGTTAGATTCCAAAAGGATAGACCTCTTATGCCTATTATGGCACATGATGGACATCCACCATGGAGCACATTCCTTCTGACAGGGGTTCCTAACCTTTCAGCTGATTACTCAAAAGATAACAGTGAAGAAGTTGATCTCTAAATTAGTGCACAAGCCTTTAATCAGGGTGAAACAAACATGTCTACTATTATAACACAAACAGCATCAACAGCTTTTAGTTTAAAACAGACCTGTATTTATGCATCATGTTTTTATCAAGCCTAAGCATCCCTTATTGGAGATGCACCAATCAGGATCTTTCTTTGCATTTCGGATTTATTTCTACTGCTGATTCAGTTATTTAGTTTTAAAAGAATAAAATGTTATCTTTGTTAATGGATCACAAATGCTGCATGCAACATTTATCACATATTTAATTTGAAACAAGGTTTCTATCTCTCTGTTGCTGTTAAATATATTGAGCGTTCTTAGTTTCCATTAATTTATCAAAAATAATAAAAGATACAGTTTTTTAAGTATTGCTTTCCTGTCAGTAAATGAAAAGAAAACTGTCCAGTTTTTTTCTCCTGGCTTAAACTTTGAGAATAAACAAAGAGATCTAGTAAAGCTAGCTGCTGTAATAATGCAAACCAATGAGAATTTAATACTTGCGATTATAGTTCTCAAAAAGAATTAAGATTGTAAAGCAACAGGATAAGCAGATCAAAGCTTCACAAGAACCAATGAAGGGAAATCGGCCAAAGAAGTCTGATTGATCGTTTTTGTTTTTCCTTAAAACCCAGGTATAAATGTGAAACTCTTATACTAAACTTGACTTCAATAACTATACTAATTAAGGTCACTATTTTACCTTGGAATACATTTTGGAATAAATTTGCCTACAGGGTATGTGCACACAGACGCATATGGCGCCAGAACGGAAACAGACATGCATTAAATATGAAAATCTGCAAATGATTGGGTTTGAGAGTCTAGCAAATGGAGGAACAGACTGCCACAGGACCAGACCTTGGTGGCATTGTTACAGCTCTCCATCTGCCTGCCTGTAGATAAAAAAGAGTCTGAATGCAGCAGAGAGCATAAATGTAATCAATCCAATCAATTACTGCAGTAAGAAAACCTGAGCGTATCTGCTTCTTGAAATATCTGACCTCGCCGAACGTGAGCAAGTTGTTTATATACAAATACTTATATGCGTTCATTTCTGTATTAAGATGAGCAATTTTGAGACTGTCTTTTGTTCAGGAATCCAATCACTCGTCATAAAGCAAAACCCACACACCAGCCAACAGATATCATAGCCAAGATCTTTGTATTAAATCAGTTTTTTTTTCTTCCCTTGAGGACATAAGAAAGCCCTCAATGCTTTAATTAATGAGATAGATGGGAGATTGATCAGGTTGGTGCATTTGTGGAATTAGCCAGCCATATTTAAAATGATCTCATGCTTCATTTGCTGATGCTTATGCAGCTGCGGGTGGGGAATAGAAGAGCTAATGGGTGTAACTGTGAAAAAAAAAAAAAACTTTATGTGAGTGAGAGTGGATATTTGACCAACATCTTGCAAAAGTCTTCACACTTATTTAGCATTATCTCGTGTTATTCCACTTTTTAATGACAAGCTGTATAATAGCAATGTTATTATACAGATTTTATGTGGTAGATCAACACAAAGAGCAAATAAAGAATAACATAATCCATGGTTTTCATTTTTTTTAAAAAAAACTCATTTCAAAAGTGTAGCATGTATAAATATTCTGATGGACTAGGATAATATTCAGTGCAATTAGTTAGCTTTAGACCTAATCACTGGATGGGATTCCTTTGCAAGTAATTCAAGCTTGGTATCAATAAGATCTTTTGTTTAGACTTCAGGTTTGCTAGAAAGCATTCTTGATCAAAAATTATGATGTCATAAGAGAAATTTGTGTATGAAGAGAAACAGCTGCTAATTTCCCTAACCACACCACCTGTCCTGAAACATGGTGGTGGCAGGATCATCCTTTGGAGATGGACATATACTATGGCAAGACAAAAACATGGTCATTCTGGAGGGAAAACTGCTTCGATGCTGCAAAGGAACTGAGACTTCCACCGCCCTGCAGAAAGAAACAACCCAAAACTCAGGTTGGCTGCTTGGCTATAAAGAATGAGCTAAAAATTCCAGTCTCTAGTTGTGCAAAACTGGTAGGCATACATCAAAGACTTTGGATGGCTCGATACAAATGGCCTCCAAACTTCTCAGACTATTCTTGCTTTTAAAAAAAAGGGGGAAAAAAAGAACCATCGATCCCTTTTTCTCCGTCTGAAATCATCTACATTGTTTGGATCTACTCAAAAAATATAAGCTTTCCACACATTATAAACAGTTTAGCAAGGAACAGTAGAGGATGCACATTAAATATCTAAACTATGACCAAAGAAACTACAGTTACGTGCAGTGTCCACCATCTCTGACAGAAGAGAAATTATGTTAAAGACACGGAAGGATCGTCTGACAAATCCTCAAAAGAAAGTCAGAGGAACTTTGGTGATCGGTGTGTGACTTGGAGCAGTGATTATAAATAAAGGCAGGAAGAGAAATGTATGTTGTTAATGTACAATACCTTGGCCTGGGAACCCTCTCTTCAGGAAAAGGCGTCCAGGTGGAGTCTGGGGATTTCTGCTCTTTGAAACGCCCAGTAAACGCGTGGGCCACCTCAGCCATGTCATACGCACACACTGCCGAACCTGGAATGCTGCCACAACAGAAAGCACACATATTAAGGATTTTTAAAAAAAAAAAATGCATAAGGGAGTCTGCTGACTGAACATTTCAGAAGGAACACCTTGCCAATTCAGGCTATCACTAAGAGACAGAAAAATGGATTTACAATCCATTTTCAGAGTGGTTTAAATCCCATGAGGATTGTTTCTTATATGTTATGTTGAAGGAGAGTTTATTGAAATTCTAAAAGGACTTACACTCCGTTGAGTTTCTAAAATAAAGTTAATATAAAAGGTATTTGCACATATGTTGGATGCCAGGTTTGTGTGATTTGAAACAACAACAACATTTTCAGATCGTTTAGACATTTAACCACTAACCTGCTCATTTTCAATTAAAAGCTTTAAGGAGGAATAGAAAACCCTCAAATAATGTGGCTGCGTAATGAAGCATGTCATCTTATAACTGGGGATGCGTTCATTTGCCACCACATTCAAACCCATGTGAGACTGAAGTCAGTACATGTCTAGAGGATGATTAACCCAAATTAAGTTCAGCTGGTTTTTCCTAACATTTTCTGAGTCTTCAGTAACATATAAAGTAAAACTGACAGGTTCTCAGGATGCCAAAAGAGGGTCACCAGCCTTTTGGGGGTCACAGACTAAAATGTTTGGATACCTGTGCTCTAAAATCAATGGAAAGAAAATACCTGTTGCTGACTGTGTAGGAATGTGAACACAAATCCCATATTCTTTAAACATCTGGGTGATGGAAAAAGAATGGCAAGATGGGAAAACTTTTAAATCTATCAAGGTTTTGTGAGAAAATGCCTAATGATAGCAAAACCAAATTTATTAGCAACATTCCAAAAGGTAACACTGCACATCATCAAAGGCCAACCGGTAAAGCATGGTGGTGGCAGGATTATGCTTTAGGGGCTTTTTTTCTTAAGCAGACTGAAATTTTGTGTTGTAATTTTAAACAGCACTAAATAGGAAACGACTTTTGTAGGAGAGACACTGGACATACAGTATATCATTGATACACTAATAGACTCCTACCTGAAAAGACGGAATCCTGTAGTGAAATCAAAATGTCCTTTAACTAAACTTATATGGACACAATATTTCAATGTTTTATGCTTTATCCCAAAAGGTTTTATTCTACTTTAAAGTGGCACAGGTCTGTCCTGTTAAAGGAGGAAATAGTATTTATTTATTTGGTCTATGCACCACAAAACCTGGTATTTTAACATGGCTGTGCTTTTTTTTTTATATACATGATAATAGTCGATCAGCTACAGCATCTTTCCCATATGCTTTCTTTCTGGCATCGAAGTTTATCAAGCGCACTGTAGGACTTCTGATATCAAACAACAAACTATCTTTTTACTGCCTCTCATTTTGAAATGGAAAGGAAATGTCCATTTTATGATAGCGATTCAGCATCAGCTTTTGTGTTGAATCAATGCGTGGCTCATCACTGAGTCATGTCTATTTTTGTTAAAATTTAAAAAAAAAAAAACAGACAGAGAGCATTTTCTGCCTTTTTCCTAGTCGGATTTTCTCATCATTGCATCATGAATTAAACTCGGCTTGTAGACATCGGGGAGACCCGAATACACAAGAGTGGTATTATAGAGAGCAAGGTCAGGGAACTGTTAATTCTCTGCTCAGTTGCTAAATTACAATAACTACTGTCTCCATTGAATACATACAAAAAGCTAGACCATGATAGTCTTGTCTGTACCAGACGGCTGATGAGGAGGGAAAATAGAGAATAAGGCAGACAGCAACCCTGCAGCCTTTCCAGACAAACTCCACCTCTGTCTGCACTCTAATTTGAGACTGTGACGCAGAATGGTAATAGCATTAATTTACCAAAAATTTTTTCGAAGGCTCACCTTCTTTGGATTTCTGATCTAAGTATGCTCAATTGAGGTGTCACTTCTTAATTGTCTTATCTGCTTAAAATGCGGCTATAAAACAGAAAATAACAATATACTTGAGCTACCAGATAAATGCTGTGCTTTTGTGTTAAATTTTCTATTCTCATTGCTTTCAATTATAGTTAGGAACATTGGAAAAAAAGGTTTAAGGCCTGCAAGTCAAAAGAGCAGCAACTGCTTTGACAGAGGATGTAAATGTGCATCCAGTACTCGCCAAGATGTGCTGCAGCCTAACCAACATTGATAAAGGTCAGGTTGCCACAATGTTTTAAAAAAAACAAGCCAAGGAAAAGGACTAAAACCTGAAAAGGGGCTTCTGGTTTGTTGAAACAAATCAGAGATGGCCCTCACTGTCATTCAGGTTACCTGTTGTAAGGCGTGGAGAAAGTAGCCATCACCACATCCCTCCCGTTGATGTGGATAACGTCTGTCACGGCCTGCAGGATGTTGAAGTAGAAGTGGGAGTCCCCCGGGATAGAGCAGTTCAGGCGGGACTTTAGAAACGACGTCCACTGCTTTTCCAGGACGCGGGGCGAGCCTCCGCGGTCATTTTTGCAAACCCTCGCCACTCGGGGAAACACAACCTGTTGGAGTCACACACATTACAACAATGAAATCATAATTATTTTTTCAAGACATCAAACACAATTTATGTAGATTTTTGGTTTGTTTTTTCCAGTGTTTATGCTGTGCCTTGTTGCCAAACTACACTCCTTGTTGAGTCATACACCAATTCACATTTTAGGACAAAGGAAAGATGGTGTAAAATGAAACAAACAAAACACGTTTTTTCCCCTTAAAGAACTTGATATATACGGCGAAACAAAATCCTTTGTAGATAGCAGAGTGTTAACCTGATATTTCATCACTGTATACTTAATTAGACGGAGGAGTAAATTGGTGTTATGTTTGTGAGCCACCACCTGGCAACAATAAATTGTAACCATACAGCCATAACTGAGCACCAAAAACTTTAATTACAGCATGCTGTTGGATCTGGTAGCTAGCGTTGTAATTAGCTGTTGTCACACTGTAGTTAACAGCTATATCTCCAACCAGGACCTGAAATTGACAGTGTGAACGAGTGCAAACATGTATTTAAACCAGATCCTCAAGTATGCATACACACACACTGCCTTCAACACACAGGTATCCTCCGATTTAACATTGACCCACATACTGAAATGAATGAGAGATTCGCCAGTACAGTCAGCTTCACCCATGGCTGATTTAAAGTCTAATTAAAAAAAATACTGTACAGGTGAAAATGTCAAATTGAAGGACGAATTATCCCATGAAAAGAAGTAAGTGTCCCTTAATTTATTCTTCCAGCAAACACAAATCTCTGTCAGCAGATCTATCAGTATCAGTTTCCAACTGACACAGGCGACTCCTCACATTGTCAGGGAAGGCCATTCTGTCGGGAAATAATGAAGAGATATCTTTCACTGAATGTTGAATTGCTCTCTGCTCCATCAGATCTCCCACCACTTGCATAATTACACTGATGCTGCTTTCAAAACACCCAGCAGATTGAGAGGCTCAATCTGTATTCATGCTCTATATAACACATGGCTGACGGTTCCGGCACTGAATCCATTACCTCTGTGTTTTGAGTCGCCTCAGATCTGCTCTCATACCGTTCTCTCTTATACTCCCTTTAAATCAGTCTCCAAAGTACACCCTTGTCTTCCATTCTACCTGCTGCTCCATTAAACCAGATTCAAAACTGCAATGAGATAATTAAGGGTGGAATTTTCTCATCCTGCTGTTGAAATACGTAGCTGAGATACGTCTGGTACGGTACTACTTTTTCTTCTTCCTCAGCTTTTTCCTGTTCTCTTCCAGGTTGTTTCTTTGCAGTGCAAAGGGGGGATTTCTCCTGGGAACCATTGAAACGAGAGGTCAAACAGAAGCACCGTGGAGCGGATGGGGATGTGCAATTGAAGGCATATATTTAGACTCCAAAATAGGTCCACCAGACATCAATAGATTTTGTTTTTCTTGGTCTATTTTAGGTCCTATATCCTGCCTACTGTTTCTAAAATATGCTTTGGCCACTTAGAAACTCCTGAGAGGTTCCTTCCAATCATACGATACGCCCATATCCTGGTAGCTTCCTTGCACACTTCCTCATTCTCCCAGTAAATAGGAGCTCACCCCTGATTAGAGTTCAAACAATAGCAGAAGAACTGGGACTGTGCTTACCTTTCCCATTGTGTTGTACTCCATTGCAATTTCCCGAAAGAAGAAATAGATGAAGTCCCCATAATTGACTGCCTGGACAAAGTATGGCTCTGCAAAATAGCAAAAAACAAAAGAAAGAGGAAAGGAAGTCAGAGGGGTGTTTTGCCATGAAAAAATAGTTCTGACACAATATTCAAAAGCAAACAGAATATCTATCAAATTATGCAAAGAAGCAAAGAATCTCAGTCTTGAGAGCATCAATTTACAATCCTTTATGTGGGCAAAACAATTTGCATGCAAGAAAAGACTGCTTCCCTGTTGGGTTTTGACAGACTGGACTGGTGTTTGTTTCACCCGCAGGGCAGAGAAATTTTGGTTGGAACAGGAGGGTGAAATGGATCAGTTTCAAGATGAATGAAGAGTGTTTGCATAAGTGGTTCTCTACTTATCACCAGCAGGTAAAACATTCTTCCAAAGTGGTGACACTGAGTACAAAACACTGTTTTACAGCATTTATACAAAGATCTAAAAGAAAATATAGATATATCATGATCTAATGTAAATGTAGATATCAGGAACAAATCTGTTCAATCAAGTTGAAGTCTTCAGGGGCATTTATGCAGACATTTTTTTTTTCGTTACATTATGTCCTCTATTATATATTTTACACTATTACCAAAGTTAATATATAATTGGAAAATTTTTATGTAGATCCCAAAGGACTACACGTTCATAATAAATAATCAGTGTTACATACATACATACATACATACATACATACATACATACATACATACATACATACATACATACATACATGTATATGTATGTATGTAGTCAGAAAATTGTACCTCAAATAATTATTAATATGAAGATTGTATATTTTCCACTTGTAACTTTTTGTGGCAAACTAAAGTATTTGACTACTATGACAATTTACAAAATACAGAACTTTTTAAACCCTTGCCTTCTCTCGTTCAGCCTGCATTTAAATGCATTTGCCAATGCCTAATCTTCATATACATCATAAATCACAAGACTCAAGGTATATCATCCACATTTGAAACTTACAAAGTTGTTTTATTTTGCCTCCTGTATCTAGAAGCATGTTCTTTTTTTTTTTTTGGTTTTGTCTTCAACCCACCTTTAAGCCATTTGGAGTCGTGTTTGACAGTGCGAAGAGTCGGGCTGTCGCCAAGACTACGATAGATGACCGCATCGATCGCTAGGAAGTCTGTTACAGTTGCTGAGTACAGCTTGCCATCTGGACAGGGAATGCAGAGGAAGAATGTGCAATGAGGAGGAAAGATGGAGAAGAATAAAGGGAGAAAAACAGACCGAGCCATAAAGAGGAGAGAAAATAAAAAGCATTAAGTAACAAAGAGATTCCCACCCTCCATGGCTGGTTACACTTGCATGTTTCAGAGAACTGAGAGCTGGGAAATGAATGAATAACACAAACCTAAGTGTTTCATCCACAAACAACTTCAACTTGTTGCAGGTTTATGAGTGCCCAATCTCTCAAACAAAAACACAGAATATTCACGTACAGCTTAAAACACAGTCACACGCTTCCTTGTTCAAGCAAATACACACATATGACTACCCGCACACAATGCACCACCAGAATGATCTCAGCCTGGCTTGGCCTTAACCACAGTGGAAACTCCAACAATCTAATTGAAAGGATAGCAAAGAGAGGAACCCTCTTGATTACTAAGAGCTTCCAGCTCCTTTCCAAGTAGCTCTGCTAAACATTAACTGCTCGGGTTTGGCATCTATCCCCCTCATGGGACAGCTCATCAATAGTGTCATAAATCAGGTCACAATAAATACGCGGGAGAACTGGATGTCTTTAGCAGCACATGGATCCTACACCATCAATAGAGAGAGCTGACTCACTCTTGTTTCCGTTTTTATAAATCACATCCATATTAAAAGAAACTAAATGAAAAACAAAAGGCATAACTGCAAAGCCAGAAGCAAAAAAAAAAAAAAAAACTGTTTCCATTTTGCTACTGATGCGTTTCCATGGACCCTAATAAGAAACAAATTTCAGATGCACTGCAAAAGTAGCATTAAGTTTGGACATTTTCTTCTGGAAATTGTTAGACACGCTGCCTTTCCTTTATATGTTATCACAATACTCCAATTTAAATAAACCACAGGGTATTAAGGACAATATCAAATACAACTATTTATAATCTGTCACCCAAATATTCTCAAGTCTCCCTTTTTAGCTTAGACTGGTATCAGTAAACAGTTAATATTTCTGTCCAATGTTATTCTCAACTGATAGGGGTGTAATGTGACATCACCAATAAGCGAAAGGACGGACAACATTTACTTGACCAGAAACTAAACACTTTTCTAATCTTTATAGGAAAAATATCACAAATCAAAAACTGATAGATGACAGATTTTAACTGTATCAATTAAGAATAAAAGTACTGCTGCCTAGTAAAGAAGCAGTTAACACCTCGTCCTTGTATGTTCAAAGCACTTACGCTCAACCAGGCAATTCAGGAGCTACCTGCTTCATGACTCTGAATGAAAGAGTTTCAAACAAATCTGTTGTCAGTATTTACTTTTCAAGGGCCCTCGGTAACAGCTTAGACTTTACCAGCCAAACTCGTATCCTGGCAGCAACTAACTACTGTAGCTCCAAGCCAGACCACTTACTATGAGCAGAACTATTGGAAAACGTACGTTTTATGGTAAATCAGCAAAATCAGCAGGATCCAAAGTTAAAATGTCTAAATGAGTGACTTGCATAGAGGTGTAATTCTTACCTGCAAAGAGGGCAACGTTGGCATGCTTGGCATCATAAGGACAGCGTGCCATCCCACTGATTTCTTCTCCCAGAGCCTCCAAGGAGTCCATCTGGAAAACAAGAAACATTAAAGGGTCACAGGTAGGTGCAAAACGAATTTATGCGTGGTGTCTATATGAGGAGCTGCCCTGACTAAAATAAACAGAGTCCTGGCAGCCAGATGAAGGTAAAGATATTGAGAAAAGATTTTAAAGACAGTCTTTAAAACAAAACAAACTATTATATAGATGAGGGTGTTTTGATAAAATAAGGTTGTCTTACCCAACCCAGCAGTGTGCTCATTTAACTCTGACCTAAACTAATAACCTCAGGATGCCGTTCTGGTGCCCCACTGAGGTCTGTCAAAGCCACACATGTGGGTGTGTCTGAGAAATTGTCACCAAGCAATGAAAAAATATGTATTTTTCACCGATATGTGTCTCAGTATGCTAGAGATTTGTCTCATGCTTTTCATCATCCAACTTTCTTGATGTTGAATAAGACTTTAAACAATCCTGAAAAAATATCTTTAACCCTGGTGTACTTATTTTTTTTCCCCCCAAATATGAACTTTTGTTGTTGTTTTCTTTTCTTTTCTTTTTTTTGTTCCTGTGAAGATGTATTGATGTGTATGAAATAAAATCGGTGTGAAGGAAAAAGGTGAGCACACAGATTATCTAGTTGTGTTGTGATGTTGGTTATTGTCGCATTGATTTCATTCTCTATTTATCCTTAGAGGAGTGTTGGCCTAGTGGTTAGCGCAGTGTGTTTTTTCTCTGAGAAGGTTGAAAATACCCGGTTTGATCCCCACAGCCTGCACTCTGGGTTCCTGAGCAAATCCCTTAACTACTGATTGCTCCTCGAGCGCCACACAATGGCTCCCCAAGGGGATAGCTCAAAATGTAGCGAACAAATTTCCTCATTGTGGGACAATAAAGGGATTTACATGGAGCCTGATCGGTCTCAATATTCACAAATACACATATGTGATTCATACATGCACAGGCACACACAGCAAGATTCCTGGAAGCACAAAAATATTCTACACATACAGTAAAAGCTCTACACACACACACACACACACACAGCACGATAAACGCAAGCATACAAGATTACCACATGCACAGCACAAGATTTGCAACACATTTCTGGTCCATAAACAATAATAAATTCAATTACAAAGTACCAGTAGTCTTTAAACTTCACTGCCTTTATGTGTGGATTTTTGAGACTCACCTCGACGTGCCTCGATAAACAAATACATTTTTTTTAAAGGAGATGGTTTGCAACCAATCACAGAGCTCCCTTGTATAAGCCAATCATAAGAAAGTACTCGCTGCATAGATTTACATTTACATTACATTAACCCAGAATTCACTTAGGAGAGTATTCGTTTTGGACAAGGGAGGCCTTGGGATCCCCTAGAATGACCCGATGAGAGTGTCACTATGAAAATGATGTCTGGGTTAACTTCTTGAAACATTTTTATTGGAACTTAATCTATGTTAGGGGAAGGACAGTGGACAAATGGATGAACTTTATTGGAAAATATTGGTAGTTAAATTGCAAACAATCTCTAACCAATGTTATCAAAGCATGTGAAATTAAATGATATTCTTTAGTATCATTGTTACGTTGTTTATTAAATTGACCCAACTGTAATTCCATTTTCCAACCCAATTTTACTCCTTTTTCCAGGCCTGAAAGCTACAGTTCAGTCAGGGATCTCTTTAAATTGAAATTAAGACAAGTTCTTAATTTTTTTTTTGTTTTTCCAATTGTGTTCCAGTGCAATTGGCAGAGCATGTCACATAATAAGACCTAGATGAAAGGTCACCATCATCCCACCATGGGAGAGCGTGTGTTTCCCAGCATGTCTCAGGATGCGCTCTAACCCTGGCTAATGACCAGGGGCACACACACACACAGACGAGAAATAAAAAATCCTCTGCAAAGCACACAAAACATAGTTATTTTTTCATCCATATTTCTTTCTATCTTGTTCTCCACAAACACTCTCCACTTTCTTCCTGTCTCTTGACAAAGGTCTTGTTGGGGGGCGTGGCTCACCGAGGCTGCAAACTGCCACCCTTTCTGGTCTCCAAACAGGTCATTTTGTTTTCTATTCCTGGCTCGGCGGAAATGGTTATCATCTGCCCACTAAAAAGGTCACTCATTCATACACACAAACTCAGATGCAACGGTGGAAAAGCTTGCCAGAGAAATTGTTCAGGCTGGTTTGGCAGGGAAAATTCAAAGTGACCTTTTATAATAAACACAGAAGCACCAGTGGTATGCAGGGCATTGCTCGAACTCTCATTCATTCCGTTTCTACAGAAATTAAAGTAGGAAATATAGCAATGTAAGATGGACATATGTCGTTCTAAAACAGGAGAGCCTGTAATCATAGATTATATGCAGCGGATCAGAGCAAGCAGAGAACATAAAGGTCAGGTGTAGCCACCGAATCTGTGTGCAATGTCAGCAGCTTCTGTCATCTGTGTAACATAAGCCTTCCCTACTTCTCTGACAAACACTGACATATCACTCCAAGCTTTCCCACACCCCTTCCATCTCCTCAGATGATTCCACTGATGCTGTGACCTCTGTCTGCTGGGCCTGGCCGGCTGTCACTAATCTGTTCCTGCCGTCCAAGTAGAGGAAGACACTCCCGCCCCCGCTGCCGTAGTACGCATACGGCTCCAATCTCCTGTCGAGATGGCATGAGTGGAGAAACAACACCCTACTGCTCCTTGCATGGCATTAGCCTTGTCAAAAGCAATAGTGTGTGTTTTGAAAAATGGCAGGCAGAAAAGGATAAACCTGCCACACTCCACCACATTTTTTAAACATGAGGAAATTCAATATCAGAACTGCTTGAAGGAATTGTAGCATTATTCCACCATTTAGCAGACAAACATCATTATCCTGTCAACCCTATTGGCTGCAACGAAGACAGACGGACTTCAGCTTTGTGGAGACAATTCAGCATAATGAGAGCTCTGTCACATGTTGCATTAACACACTGCTCTAGGGATCTACTGTATCTTGGCAGGCTGAATATACAGTAACCTTGGCTTAAGGTACAGTGCATCTAGATGAATTAATTACTACAACAGCTCAGTTGTCTTTTCCATAGGCTATGTGCTAATTAATTAGACAAACAAAATGTGGAGCCAAAAAATGCCCATCAGGAACATTATAATTGGTTCAGAATTCAAAGTGAGGTTCTGATCCCACATTTGGGTGGTTCCGTAAGGATGCCATTATACGCTTTATTTACTGCTATCAGTTCATGTTTTACTGAGAAAAAATAGCTGCTGTTTTTGTTGATGCTACAGAAATGAAACCTCACTGGGACTCAAAATACTCAGTAAACACTTTTTCTACTCTATTTGTCAACTGCACAAATATAAGGTTTTGCTAGAGCTAATATTGTAACATTTAACAAGTGATCTTTACAAGTTATTTGTCCCACGTCTAGTGGGTCAAATAGATTGTGTTGAAATGTTAGCCTCCATGAAGTTTGCACAATAAAGCTGAAAACTGATTAGCGACCTCTAGACGTTTTTGTTGTTTTTGTTTTTATGTCCTGAACTTGTGCTGCACCTTTTGCAACAATCATGTGATGGGAGACACACAGATTGCCTTCATTTTTTTATTCAACATATTGTTAACATATTAAGTCTAATTTAGGGAAACATCTATGCGTAATTATTACATTTCTTAAATATATAAAGCCAAAGTCCCAAAAAATGTTCTGGTATAAATCAATTGTACAACACGACAATGCTGTGCATCAGCTTCATTAGCCGTTTGAGCTCTAGGGTGTAGCTTACATACTGTACCTATATATTTATTAAATCCTGAACAAATTGCCCAATAATGTTAAACAGAACTTTGCATCTGAGTTATTTTTCCAGTCTGAAGTCTGTGCATGCCACCCTGTCTGTCTAAAACTCTCAACTGCTTTAGGTTAGGAAGTTTAATCCTGTAAGGCAAATAAGCCAAACCCGTGTGCTAATTCTGTTTTAAATTTTTATTTTCTAAGTCACAATAACCTTAGTTTTTTTTTTAATGAGGTGCAAAAAAGTGCAATGCCCCAGACCATAAGTAACAGGGAGAAACAATGGGATTGCCAACTGTCTAAAAGAAACAAAGGGAAAAAAATCCTAAAACTTTGTCATTTTTTCCCCAGCTTGTCATCTTTCTGAGCATTGTGATTACCTTGCATTTAATTGAAAATACAAAGAACTAAGTGCTGTATGTTTCCTGAAGCTCTATCATGTTGGGAGTGTGTCAGCAATGCAAAAATAACAAACTGTCTCAGTAATTTATGACTATAACTCAATTCTTAGGGCCCAATCCTTTTCTTACTCCTTCCCTTCTGATCTATTTATAGTTGGTTGACCTACTCTCTGCAGCTGGGTTTGGATCCAGCAAATAGTTCTTCTGCAACACATTTCCCCACCTGCAACAACTTTGTTCATCCATAAAGGTCAAGTGCACAACTTCCCACCTGTCCTGGGAGAGGTTGTACAAGCTAAAAACAGAGAACATTTCCTGGGAGATTAATGGTCATGGCCCATTTTTCTGTAACTAGTTTCTGAAGAATATAAGGAGGAAAAAATGTATGTTGTTAGATTTTGGACTAACACAGAAATGTGTTTGACTATTTGAAAAAATATCTTTGTAAGCCTCGATTATCAACATAATTATTTCTCTAATCTGTCTGAGATTCATTTTCCAACTTGTAATGCATATCAGTAAATCATTTTTTATATAAAATGACTTATTAGCATTTCAGAATCTACATAATAGGTTTCAGAGAGAAAAACACAGGCGAAACCATTTATCCAACAACAATAACCACTTTGTGAGCACAAATCATTTCAAGTACACCAGAACAAAGTCCAGGCCACATCACCTGGGAGTCTCAGCAACCCCCGCTGCTGCACCAGGCAACAGGCGATGAAACTGACTCCATTCATATATCAACCCAGCTGGATGGGCCGTTTATTATGGCAGCACAGCAGGTGAGTGACAGAGGGAGAAGGCAACAGAAGGATAG